AAGCCACACAGCCCATCTACGCGTACCACACACGAACTGGTCCCTCCGAGTGAACCGGGTTTTTGCAGAAACAAGGGTCTGCTCGGGTGCCATTTGAGGCTGTCGTTCACACCGCATGCACACGTAGTACTGATCAGGAGGATGGGGTTACTCGTCATTGCGCACTCTTCCGAGTCGTAACTTTTGAGTGCATTGCGATATATCCAGGCGCGTCGAATTTAAAGTGAGGTCTGCTTGCATGATAAGTACGCTCTCACACACGTTCACAAATCGTTTGTGTCTCTGTTCTGCTGACATTTAATTTCCCACCCTGTTCTTCCTTGTTTTTTTTAAATTTAGGTTGCCACGACTTTTCATCCGCCCATGAACGACAGAATAGCTGCTTCCATTCGCGCCGGCCTCGAAGATATGCTTCGTCTGGGTGTCATCCGGTACGTTCGAAAAGCAACCATTCCAACTCTATGTCTTCATGTTCCTGCAGGGATTAAGTATTGCAACCCACATAAGTCGAAATTTTTCCGACCTATACAATGGGCAGTAAATGCGACATTGTTCGAACTCACATCTGATCTACCCTTAATCTAAACCCCACTCGAAGCAGAGCTGCCAGTAGCTGGAATGACAGTGGAGTCCTGCTGTTAGTGATCTTCTTGGTGTTAGGTCTAACGTAAGTCGGCGGTTCGCGCCGAATTCAAGTGTGCGAAACTCATTCGGATGTATTGAAGATGAATTATTCGGTTAAATACCGACTAGTTTACAGTTATGAAAAATTAATAGTCTGCTATGCAATGGGAATCTTGACCTTCCGGGAATATTCAATGGTGCAAGCGTTATCACAAGTACTTGCCCTTGTACTTGATACGACTGTAATTATGCCTGGTCTAGCCAGCCTCTCCACGCCTGACGATTAGCGGCAGCGGATTTGGAAAGCTCCATCCATTCTGTTCGCTATCGCCGGAGGCCGAATATGGACGGTCCAAGAACAACTTACATGTCCTGACGGACTGAGTTCGGCCAGGTTTTGAGTTGACCCCTTCTTCGACGTTTCCAATTAAGTAACGGTTTCCAGTCGAGGGCAGTAACACTGGGCTCCTGATGTTGCCGACGAAAAACCTTTCCGAGATACCTCTGTCGTCTTTCTTGGATATTTTGCGATATCCTCCTGATACTGTTGCAGCGAGTGCGGACTGTTTCATTTAAACCGAAGTCGGTATACTTCACTCGAAGGATGCTCCTCAGGCAGCGGCGCTCAAATACATACAGTTTCCGCTC